TAAATTGTCAAGCAAGATGCACACTGCGCATACCTAAGCCGTCGTCCTACTTGAGTCACGTCGCTTCGAGCACGAGAGTTTTTGAATATCAGCTTTGTGTACAAAACGTGAGTATTAATCATTCTTGTGTCAAAGAAAACGTTGTTTTATTCCCCTAAACATTTAAGATTTATATCTTCCAATCACGTAGGCAGTTTTTTGTCAATTTAGATTGCGAAAATGTCAATATTCTGACATTTTTTACGACATTGTTTACAGGAGTCTTAAGCATCAAAATTATGGCTTCGTCGACCCAACCTTCGATACCAATTATTAATAAAAATTTATCGTCTATAACATGTACGAAATGTTATACTTGTGAATGGCACCAGGTTGGAAGCAGTTTTGTTGTTTTTTTACACCCATCGTGACTGGTGTATTAGCCGAGAAAAAAACCTGTCGATGTTTCGCCGCAGCACACTTGTCTCGCAAAGGCGCTGCAAAATTGTTAGATGATTGTATTCTTGCACTGTATTTTTGTCCGTTATGTTTCTGGACAAGCGACAGGCTTACCCTCTGTTGAGAGTTTACACACCAAAGAATAGTTGCACTAGGGAAAGTAATAAAAGCAAGTGAATATCAAACATCGATCAAAGAATAATAAATGCAAATAAATGAAAGTTTGTGACCACTTAGAATGCACAAACATTTTACGTCAGAAGGTCTTTAAGTTAAGAAAATTCTTCTTTTCCACCAGAAAAATCGCCCTTATTTTTGATTCCCCTCTTTTTTCAGAAAAATGCTGATGTCAGAAATGTTTTCAGTGAACTTTTCATTTTATTTATTAACTAGGTAAAAATGGTCGCACACTTGGTATTAAAAACAACACAAAAGAAGAAAATAAACAGCATACCATTGGGAATCGAAGGGTGTCAACAACGAAAGTCCAGAATGTGTTCGTTGATCCTAACGTTGGATGCTACAAGATGTTCTTTGCTGGCGAGTCACCACCAAATGGTTTTCGTAATCCCAATAATAAAGCTATAAAATATATCTGTCAACCGGATGATCAGCAGACTTTCTACTCTACGATGTTCCATGAGAAACAGGGGATTGCCGTTGTTGCCGCCTACAGTTTGAGACCTGGAGACGTAGCGTTTCAGAAAAGAAAAACATTCACATGGACCCCGACCCTTGGTAAGTATTTGCATCTGTATTGAAACAAGATGCCTTTCTGGTTATCTGTGACCCTTTTCTTGGATTGAGGTATCAAGTGACACATTATATACCCTCCAGCAATGCCAGCTAGATACCAGTTACAGCTTCCCCTAATTCCTCTACCTTTGGAATCAAATAACAACTCGGTGTGGTGATTCGGCAGTCAATTTAAAATTGTTACTCAGAAATTACCTAACAACACTTCAACTGAGATTTCTAAAATTACGGAGATTTTTCGGTATAAAAATTTAGGTACCAAAGGATTTGTGGGTAACGCTAAACTGCGAGTTCACACATCAATGTTTTGTTAAATTAATTTTAGTTGTGCTAGATAATACAAAATATTGAAATAACATAAATCTATATCGTATGGGATACATCGATTTGAATGTCATACATCGATGCTGTGGAGCAAACATAGCTTTCCTGAATCATTCCACTGCATAAAATCGTCTGTATAAGGAGCCTTCCTTAGGTCGTATACAGGNAAAGTGGCAAACAAAGATGCCAAGATTTATGTTGGAAGGTCCACGACCGTGCACAATCTCTTGTTTTGCGTGCATACACTATGCGTTAATTACGCAACCAAAACGTTTCTATTGGTTAGCTCCTCAGTACGGAGTGCAACTATTGTGTTTTGTGCACGGTCAAGGCCAAAAAAGAGGACAAAAACATACAACAAAGAAATTTGTCGGGTTTCATAACCATTCCCCTCTATTAACTATAGTACACGAGCGCTTTTCACACAGGCTAAGAGGTTTTCACAGAAGTGCTTCCCCAGGCCAAAAACTTATTATCTGCGACCTGCAAATGTTAAACAGCGGAAACCATACAGAAATATGACCTCAAAAACATTTGCTACAGCATAGTCCAACGGCTCATCTCTGCTTAAGAGTCGCCCGAATAACCCTTTCAAAAATATTCAGGTTTTGAACGTTCAAAGCCTGAACATTTTTTCAGGTCTTTTTTCCAGTAGTGTTATGGCTGCATTCGCATCTATCATCATGTATACCATAATATAGTTCTCAACGAAAGTTACTTGTACTTAAGTATCCACCTCAGCAGCCCCTGGCTCACCTACATGAGGGTCAAATATGCATCTTTAACTACACTTTTTTGTAAGAATATTGTTGTTTTTTTTGTTTTTTTCTGGCCCAGGCTGAATATTCTTATTTTTCTGCCGATTAATTTTAAGCTGAAAATATTCTTGTGAATATTCTTAGATTATAGGAATAATAAGTAGATAATGCCGACAAAACTTCAAATTGTCTGTTCTGCCATGACTTTGATGGCGTTGAAGTACTTTTTGAGCCAAACTGCGAGCAATAAAGCCTGACATGACACAAAACGTCTTGCAGAAACTTTATTAGATCGAACATCTGGTTTTACAGTTTAGGGAAGGAAGAATTTTAGAAATTTTATTGTATTTACAAATTTTTAGCCCCAAAAATTATATTATTTTCAAAATCTCGCCCACGGGTTTAGCCTTAATATATTCTTAAAATTTCTCAAATTTCAGCCCTATTATTCTTATACAGTATATTCTTATATAAAGAAACAGTGTAGTTCATGGGACTGAAGTAGGCAATGATAGTCAACTTACGATAATAATCAGCATCTTGGTGCACAATAAATCTCATAAAAAGTCACAATATCNAACTACACTTTTTTGTAAGAATTTTTTGTTTTTTTCTGGCCCAGGCTGAATATTCTTATTTTTCTGCCGAGTAATTTTAAGCTGAAAATATTCTTGAGAATATTCTTAGATTATAGGAATAATAAGTGTATAATGCAGACAAAACTTCAAATTATCTGTTCTGCCACGACTTTGATGGCGTTGAAGTACTTTTTGAGCCAAACTGCAAGCAATAAAGCCTGACAGGACACACAACTTCTTGCAGAAACTTTATTAGATCGAGCATCTGGTTTTACCGTTTAGGGAAGCAAGAATTTTAGAAATTTTATTGTATTTACAAATTTTTAGCCCCAAAAATTATATTATTTTCAAAATCTCGTCCACGGGTTTAGTCTTAATATATTCTTAAAATTTCTCAAATTTCAGCCCCATTATTCTTATAAAGTATATTCTTATATAAAGAAACAGTGTAGTTCATGGGACTGAAGTAGGCAATGATAGTCAACTTACGATAATAATCAGCATCTTGGTGCACAATAAATCTCATAAAAAGGTCACAATATCTTAATTGTGTCCGTGAAGAAATACCTTTTACGTTAGTCGGGTCTCTAGGTCTAAACAGGACTTAAGATTGGTTCTCGGCACGGAGATGCAGACAATGTTTTCTAATGTCTATTTCTAATTTTTAAAAGGTATCGCACGTCAAGGAAGCGATGGTATTTATGGCAGCAAAAATCAATTAAATCCCGATAAATTTCAAAAAGGTCACTTAATATCAAAAAGGATCTTTTCCAGTACCGAAGAACGTTGCGCATCTACTTACACGTACACAAATGCTGTGCCACAAGCACCCAGTTTTAACAATGATGGTTGGAAAGAGTATGAGATCAGGATACGACGGTATGCAAGAGAAAACTGCCTTGTGCAGCAGCAATAGCTGCAACAGGGACAGCCAATTTTGTATCTTTTGACCGGCACCTCGTCCGTGGGAATTCAA